ACACACACACACACACACACACACACACACACACACATGATCCAGTCCTTCTCTATCCCAATTCTTCTCGGCTTAATTTTGGGACATGCAATGCTTTGTAAACTTCATCTTACTATTCAGCGCACTTTTCAACTAGGTAAGCAAGCAGCTGAGACACACTCCTTTTTCAGATTTCACTTGCCATTGGGTCCTTTAAGACTGGTGATTCAGGAACTGGGAACTTTTGCATGTGGAAGGAAAGGCTGTTCACTTCCAGAATCGAAGGTGTTGGAAGGAGAGAGGCTGTATTTTCATTGTACTTCTAATGTCATGTTTTGATTAGAGACTCCTAAGTCAAAGATAAGGAGATTAAGGCATTATCCTCCAGTGTTGTGGGCAGAGCCCTCACCGGCAGAGACACTGGACTGGGCATCAGCTGCATGCCTCTTATGGACAGTGAGAATGCGTGGTGTTAAATACTGAGTGAAATAATAGTCACATTTTAAAAAGCGGTAACACTATACAAAACAGGAAGCTACAAAGAGCGGCGATTTGAATGTCTATTGTCAATGTTTAAGAATCCTTCTGTGTTATACGGGACCAAGGCAATCTCTTGGGAATACTTTGTGGGAAATTTACATGAAGTACTACACCCAGGTCGATTTATTCCAATCATTCTACAAAAAGCATTCTAACTTTTGTTAACTGGTCACTGAGTTAAATGCAATACAGATAAACATATACTTGAGCATCAAGGAAATACGACAAAGATCTGATGTGTTAAGTGGCATGATAGAGGATGGTGTACCCTCAGGGGGTGTCACAGACGTAGGTTCAAGTTGGAATGGTCACAATCAATGAAAAGATACTCAGTGTGCTGGACGGCTGTAGTTGTCAACACCTGGGTAGAGGGAGCCTCAGCTGGGGAAGTGCCTCCATTGGACTGGCCTGTGGGACATTGTCTTCTTGATTATTGAGTGATGTGGGAGGGCCCAGCCCACTGTGGATGGTACCATCCCTGGGCAGGTGGGCCTGTATTGTATAAGAAATCAGGCTGAGCATGGACCAGGGGAGCAAGCCAGTAAGAAGTGTTCCTCCACGGCCTGTGCTCCAGCTCCTGCCTCCAGGTTCCTGCCCTGAGTTCCTGCCTTGGGCTCTGTGATGAACTGCGACCCAGGAGATGTGAGCCAAATAAACTCTTTCTTCCCCAGGGTCAGAGTGTTTTGTCACAGCAATGGAGAAACAAATTAGAAGCTGAGTTGTAGTGTTTTGTTTGCCTTTCCCACTAGCAAGGGAACTAGTCTGTGCAACTAACTGCATTCTGACAGCATCCCCCCGCCCAACTTTGCACTCTCAAGCTCTGGGTTTGAAGCCAGGGAGTGGAGCTCATCAGAATTTCTGCAGCTGAGGAGATGGCTCCATGGGTAAAGTACTTGCCGTGCAAGCTTGAAGACCTGAGTTTGGATCCTCAACACCAATGTGGAAAAAATCACCGTGGCAGTGAGCAACTGTTACCCGAGTGCTGGGGCTGGGGACAGAGACAGACAGATCTCCACTGCACATTGAGCAGGCACTCTAGCCAAATTGGTAAGCTCCGGGTTTAGTGAAGGGACCCTGTCTCAGAAGATAAGATGACAGTGCTATGGCTGGTTTGTGTCAAGTTGACACAATTCAGAATCACCTGGGGTGGGGTGGGGTCTCATGGAGGAACTGTGTAGATTAGGTTGGCCTGTGGGTATGTCTGTGGGGGATTATCTTGCTTGCTTTAATTGAGGTGAGTAGACCCACCCACTGAGAGTGGCACCATTCCCTGGGCAGGGTTCTGTGGATTGTGTGAATAGAGAAATCCACCAAGCACTGCTGCACATGCATTGATTTAGTGCCCTCTGTTCTTGACTGTTGATGTAATATAACTAGTGCCTTCAGATTCTTGACTCCCAGGCCATGATGTTGAGCCAAACGAACCCTCTGCCCCTTCAGTTGCTTTTGCCAGTGTCCCTCATCGTAGCCACAGAAGAGGAAACAGAGCGATTGAGGAAGATACCGGAATTGTCCCTTCGCTTTCACACAAACTCTACACATGTGCATACATACCTGCACATACACAAACATGTAACATGCATTAACCTTCCCCCCAGGTCTTCAGGGAAGAGCCAGCTATCAGGAAGCTGGTACACCCTAAACATTGAATATAGGCTTGAAGCACAGAGCAAGCATTATGCATGAGTCTGTTATCAGTCCTAGTGCGCACAGTCCTAACGCAAAGGGCGAAGATGCCCATGGACACGACCTTCCTGGACACTGCATCTGTATTTCTTCTTGACTATATTGTCATTGCTATTCTAAAACAGGCAGAGATTGTTAGACCCCTAAGGCATGCAGAGTATGGCTCAAGATTTCCATGATCAAAAGCACAGCCACTTAAGAAAATAATAATAACAAGGTATGGGGAAAAACTCAGACTTTAGGGCAATTCTGCTGTGCTAAGGCATGCCTACTTTTGAGTGATAATACAGTCATATGTTAACATTGCTCATCTTTTCCAGAACTCAAAAGATTTCATGGCAAATAAGCCTACCAAGAATATCCCCTGCAATCTACCCTTGTGGGGTAAAGGCATTGTCAGACAGGATAAAGTCTAACTAAAAGCTCATCTAATTTTAGTTTCTGTAACCAGAGAACACTCTATACAAAGGAAAATTCCAGGGGGGTATTTCCCGTTTCCCAGAAGATCCTTTAGGGTTCCTCTGTCTTGTCTTTGGCCAGAAATGTCTTCTAATCGACACAGTTTTAATTAAGCAAAAACTTTGCAAGAGCTGGTTGCCTACCTTTCGTAGTGTCTGCGCGTACAGGTGGCCGCACTTGTGCTCCCAGGGTTCCCTCCTAATTCATCATAAATATGTTTCCATTGACGGCGGGCTGTTATCTGAAAAGATGGCAACGAGAGATTCAAACTAGCATCAAGGGACAGTTGCAACCCAGGCTTCTATACATATGCGACAATCAGAAGAGAACAGATTGTTCTGGAAACCCAGAAATAGAGAAAGCTAAGAAAATGTAAGGGGAGTGGGGGCTCTAGACCGAGACCTCTGTATATTGTATTTGCCAACCTACGTCCTCTAAGGCACACCCTGGTTCTTCACATTCGCCTTCAAAGTCCCCCAAAACACACCCCGTTCCTTGATGTTATGTGCTAAAACATCAAAATAGAAATCACATTTTAACTGAACTGTATGTCAGTTCACCAGCTTAGATGATCGCAACTAACACTGGCTGCCCGAAGTCAGTGCAGGTGAGCCACCAGGCACACGGGTTAGAGAAAAGACTTCACCGAAGATGCTTATGTATCTTTGAACCATATAATGTGTTACTTTAAAAAACAAGATGACTAGGTAGATTAATGAAAGTTATCAAATTAGTTGAAGCATTTACAGTCACCTCAGCTCCTTCATTGCCAGAACAAAGGCCAAATCTGAAACCATGTGCATCAAAATCTGTTTCTTTTTAATTCCCTTAGATGAGGAAAATGGGATATTGATCAAATCCCATATAAACTAGCATAGTCCAGACTTGGAACATTCACTGAGCATGTTACTGAACTGGGTTAGTAACAACAAAACCAGTTTGTACTATGTTGACCTTCACAACATCTCCTTGTTTTATTTTTTCTTAAACGTTATTTCTGTTTGTAGATTAAGGTTTTGCAAAAAAAAAAAGATCTGGCCATCGATGATTTTGGGGGAAATCACATTGCTTACTACATATGAGAAAATTTAGTGTTTCTTTGAAAGTAGGAAGACAGGGTGCGTTCTGAGGTCTGTGGACCTTTCTAAACAGGGTTTCAGGAAAACTCTGTTATTGTATTGTGTGGTGGACAGGGCAGGGAAGGTGTGGTGGTAGTTAACACAACTGAAGGAAAGGCTTTTATTTGAAAAATATCCACAGGTCTGTTAGTGGAGTTCACAGGGATAAAGGTAGCAACTAGGGAAAACTTCAACCTTCAATGGATGCTGTGCTAACCTAAATAAAAGTAAATAAAGATGGAGGTGATGCATTACATGCCATTGCAATAAAAAGAATTCTTTTCTCTATGAGCCCCACTCTAAACCCAAGGAAGATCTCCAGACGATGTTGAGTCATGTACAATTTCCCACGAAGGCTTTTGGTCAAGTGGTTTCACTAGTTCTCATAGACAAAACCACTTGTTACATCTACCAGTGGGGATAACAACAGAAAATTTTATCTGGAGAGCTTAGTTTGGGTTCAAATTCCTCTTAGAACACAGAAAATACACAATTTTGGTAATCATACACACACACACACACACACACACACACACACACGATTACAAATTTCATCCAGTCTTGGGCTGGTCTATCCTGGGGCCGTCAATCAAGGAAGAAGAAACATGATCCTCTTTGAAGTATCATTACTCAAAAGCCCTTGGTACCAAGGGCCCTTCAAATATCCCTCTGTAGTGCCTTGGCTCAGATGAGCGGAGGCTCAGGGGCAGAGCAGGGCCATACAACAGCCTAGGTGTGCCCTGCAATCTGTTCCTAAGTAGCCACCAAGGTGATTGTCTGTGTGCTCTGTATTTTATGTCTTGTAATAACAGATTGGCACTTCTATTTAATCTTGTATCTTGTGAGGTGGGTGTTTGGAATCTCCATCACAGATAAGGGAATTGAGATGCCGGGAGGGCGCCTCACTTGCCCAAAGTCACATAGGTGCAGAACAGTAAACCCAGCCCCATATGGAGGTCTTCTGGTACTGAGAGGCCCATGGATTTCTACTTCATCAAAGCTGCCTCCATAATGGAACAACCTGAGGAATGGTGCATGCTTGTGGCAAGGAGATACCAGGACTCTCAGAGCCTTTTCCATCGGAGGAGGTGAATGACTGTGGGGCTTTTTCTGAGCTCTCAGCCTTTGGAGCTGGGCTTTCTGTGGAGTGGAATACAGCCAAGAGGTCAGCGGGAATCTAAGGGTGCGGGTGAAGTCACACAACTTTTCACTCTCACAGCCTCAAGTAAAATGGGTCTATTCGTCCTGACCACTTGTCTCTCTAGGGGGAACACAGTGGTGGTGGTATTCACTATTAAGTCATTGCTCTCGGGCTGTGTTTTCCTGTGGCTCCTTTAAGTTCTCTATAAAATACTGGGGACTCAGGACATCACCATCTACCTACACTGCGCCCCATTTTAAGACAGCGGGCTGGGTGGAGTTGGGAAGCAGAAAGGGCGGAAGAGAGGTTAGACTGTGGACAGACCATGGATCTCAAGGCTCTCAACGTGGCACGAGCATAATTCTAGACAACCTCAGAGGACAGAAAACTGAGCAGACCACACCCAGTCTGGATGTCTGTGACAACCTCAATCTGAGACACTTGAGAGTCGCTTCTTTCCCCAGTGTAGGTCCGATGGAGGAGCTCTGAGGGGGTCACCTCAGTGGTTACATTCATCGGGTTTCCACATGCAGTCCCAGAGGGAGCTTTAAAACCCAGACGGTATTTTAGAGATGGACCAAAACTAATTCTCCACACTGCCAGTCTCAGCAGAGAGAACAGCACTAGTGAGCAGAGGTGCATTTGCTGAAACTATCCTGTCGCTTCAAAAATATTTTGGGAAGCTAGAGAGATAGCTCAGTGAATAAACTGCTTGCCTTGTAAACATGAGGACCTGATTTCAACCCCTAGAATCTATGTTTTAAAAGCCAGGTGCAGGCTAGGGAGATGGCTCAGGAGCTAAGAGCACTGGCTGCTCCTGCAGAGGACCTGGGTTTGGTTCCCAGCACCCATGAGGTTAACAGCCATCAGTAACTCCATTTCCAGGGGATCCAATGCCCTTTTTTGATCCCTACATGGAATTGCACAGCACAGTTGCACTTACATGCATGCAAGCAATACACTCATACACATAAAATAAAATTAGTAAATAAAGTATTTTTTTTTAAAGGTCAGGTACACACTTGTAATCCCAGCACTGAGGAGGCCACAGTAGTGAACCCCTGGCTGGCCAGTTTGACCTACTTGTCAGGCTCCAGGCCCACGAGAGACCCCCACTCTCTTAAAGCAAACAACTTCCCCAACTGCCAAAACCCAAAACCTGTCATCTGGGTATCACAGAGCCACTGCACTCAAGAACTCACTGCAGCTGTGGTTAAGAACACATATGCATGATCACCCCATACACACGTATGTACACACCCGCGCACACACATATGTAAACACACATACACACATACTTTCTTTGGAAAATCATTCTTTTAACCTAAGACCCTGGACCTTCACTGCTCTACTTTTCAGGTCACAGAGATGAAATCCTGTGGGTATTTGGGGGGAATCTGGAGAAGAACAGGGAACCCAAGATCTCTCGGACTTGAATCTTCCAGTGGCTCAACACTGTGAGTGAGTACAAAGCCACAGGAAGGATGAGCCTGCACCCAGCATCGCCCAGGCTGTCTGAGAAACAGCCACTTTCTCAGGACACCTTGAGGGCAGGCCGATTCAAGGAAGATGACTGTTTTTTTCTTGGTAGTACTCCAGGAACTGAAGCTTTTCAAAACTATATGACATCATCTTTGGCCTGGACCATTTTGAAGTAAGCCAAAGGCTTTGTCTGTCCAGAAAACCAGGGTGAGAGTCAGAGGAAGTCTTGAAAATGATGTCAAATCCAGAATCTGATGTCAAAGCAAAATCCTTCCAGCAAGAAGTCAGGTGACTCTCCCAGATGTAAAACCAGGATGCTGCTTTGTGGGTAGGAAGAGAGGGCCTGGGAGGAGCCACTTTGGTAGCGACCACCTTCTGTCTCTAGGATTTCTTTAACCTCCATTTCCCTAATGCTGTCTTGTCTCAAAACACTGCACTGGGCTTGCCACTAGGTCAGCCAAATGGAAATCACTTTAGCAAACCACCCTTGATGTGCTGGCTCCAGTCATACCCCAAGATGCTCTTCCAACAGTAAATGCTTCTCCAGACATGCAGGGAAGGACTTTAGCTCAGGACCCAAAGCTCTATCCAATTCTGTCTCTTAAGTCAAAGGTGATCTATAGTCTAATATATTTGGAAGAGAAAGTTAGGTAGAAGTCTGCAAAGTAAAATCCCTTCTTGCCAACCAATCAAAACACTAGGATGCAGTTTTTCAGGAAATCAAATTTGTTCAATGCATTTATGGTCTCTAAACTTAAAATTGAAGAGACACTGTATGTGTTTCCCACAAAGGCAGAGGCGGTTAAGAGAGCTGCAGCGAGTCATCAGCCAATGCTATTAAGACTTAAAACTTCTGCCCCTTATAAAAAGATTCAGTTGGAGGATTGTGAAGGACTGAAATGAAATAATCCATAATCCACAATTCAAACCAGAAGGTTTGGAATAGTTTATAACCACAAACAAAAACAAGCCAATTAAGATGGCCTCTTTTCATAACCAGAAGGAATTCAAGAGAGATGTCTTTATCCAATCACAAGTTAACAGAAAATCAATAAAGTTACAAACTTTATACTTGCAGTTTTTGAACTTACTGAATATTTGCGTTATCTAGACTCTTTTGACCTTTCTCCTAACTGCTTACATTTTTCTTAAGAACCAGATATAATCTCAGCCAGTAACTGAGCTTTTACTAGGAGACATTAATATTCTGACATGTTTATTTAGTAATAATTTGAAGGGGCTGGGAATGGATCTCAGTGGGAGAGTACTTGCCTTGCATGAACCCTAAATTTAAAAAGAATTAGCTTGGGGGGCCTGAGAGATGGCTCAGTGGTTAAGAGCACTGGCTGCTCTTGCAGAGGACCCAGGTTCGGTTCCCAGCACCCACATGGTGGTAAACGACTGTCCCTAACACCAGTTCCAGGGGATCCAACATTCTCTTCTGGCCTGCCTGGGCATTGTATGATATGGGTGCACTAACATACATGCAGGCAAAACACTCATACACATAAAATTAAAAATAAATTTTCCGAAAATATTAGCTTGAAGATAAATTTCCAGTCTGTGATACTTGACACAGTTTGATAAAGCTAGATGACATGGGGGGACAGTGTTACACCTGGTAAGGCTCATGCTAGAATGGACTGAGAAACAGTGCCAATGAAAGTAAGGTTATAAGATCCTTTCCCCCAAAACATCATCCCAAATATGAAGAAAGCATTCTAGATAATTGAGAAACTTCTGGGAATGGGGGTGGGGGGCATGGATCTCTTTCCTCACAGTGATACAAGAGGCAATGCAGTCAGACTCTGAAAGACACGGCGTGACTCCTTGAATTACCTTCATCTCCCTGTGCCTCAGTTTCCTCATTTGTATAAATGAGGACATAAACTAGAAAAGAGCAAGAATTCTTTTCCGTAGGAAGGATGTCAGGAAAAACCAAATATGTAAGGTGTTACCCTTTCCTTTATTTAAAATGGAAATGGCTCTAGGCTGAGTCTAAACTTAAGAGTGCCACTTTGAAGAATGAAGGAAAATCTGCATCAGGAACTCTGTGACCTTGATCTGAGGGAATACTAACATTCCAGCATGTTCCATAATTAGGGCATGAAGACCAATGTGTAACCCTTGGTCCTTGCCTCAGGTTGGGGTCTCATACTGAAGCTAAGTGCACAGTAACCCATTGGCATCAGTGGCTTTTAGTTAACATCCCTGAGCAGCACGAAGGACCCGGGCTCTCAGGTTCCCAGGCCCTGGCCCCGCTCTGGTCATGTTTATATGAACTGCTTACACTGCAGAGTTCCCTGTGGACAACTTGAACCCCCATTCCGAGTAGTCTTTGGAAGACACTGACTTAGAAGATGCTACGATCTCAGTCCACTGACACCACTCTGTACTTGCTTCTGACATCAGATAATCTCTAAGCTAATGTCTTCTAATCTGTCCGTCAACTTAAGTTCTCCAGCTCTGGGTATTTTGGTCCTTCCTGAACTAACCCCAAAACTGAATCCTCACTGGGCATTACAGTTTTATCAGTTAAAAAAATGCTCAGAGAATCCCGGTTTGAGTCTTAGCACCCACATCGTGGCTAACAACCATCTATAACTCTAGTTCCAGAGGATCTGACACCCTTTTCTGGCCTCTATGGGCTCTGCATGCACACAGTGCACTTACGTACATGTAGGCAAAACACTCATCACACAAAATAAAAAAATAAAAAAATGAAAATGTTAAGGAAAAGATGTATTCTGTACCTAGGAGGGCCAAAAGCTTAGATGCAGAAAGATGTAGTAAACTTGGTGTCTATAGGACCATAGGACACAAGCACTAGGAAGGAAGGAAGGAAGGAAGGGAGGGAGGGAGGAAAGAAGGGAGGGAGGGAGGAAAGAAGGGAGGGAGGGAGGGATAGAGAGAAGAAAGGAAGGGAAGGATTTCTTTAAAAACTCTGTTCATAATCAGATGGAAGGAAGACAGCCAGGAAGGCCTGCATATCCCCTGACCCCCGGGTCCATTCTCTCCCAAACACGCGCCCAGTGCATAGGATTATTTGAGCTGAAGGCAGTGAGAACAGATGCAGGAAGAGTTTCTGCTCCTCACCCATCTACTAACTGGTGTGTCCCTTGGAGAGGGCGTGTCTCACAGTACCAGAGAGGGAAGAATGGGTTATTGCCAGAGACAGGGTTGACAGTCCTCTGCCCTCACCCCCTCTCCGTATCAGCCCTCTCTATAGCTAAATCATTCCTGGGCGCAGAATCCAAGGCCCTCTCTTACCTCCCCCTTCTTTCCATCTTTCTCTCTCAAGAACCCAGAGTCTCCTCAGCCCCTCGTCCCAGTGGCTCTGTCTAAGTCGCCCGAAATCTCTGTGCTCAACTGTATTCTATCTCCACATTCCCCAGCCAGCACATGCCTGGTTCAGCAGTTCTCCTAGGAAGCTATAATCAGGCATAACTCCCAGCCCATTTCCCCTGAAACAGCTCACCTGGCATCCGAGCCGGCAAAGCTCCCTTCTCTTAATTTCTACAGGGGAAAGCACTTTGCTTCTGCAGGGCACTGACCTGTCTCCATTTTCACTCATAATTAAGTGACTGATTCTGCTGAAGGGTTAGGACCACTAGCCTAGATCTTTCAGTGCCCCACAGTGTCTAACATATGCCTTACACGCACACAGTATTCAGTAAATATGTGGATGGGTGATTTGCTGATTTATGGTCATTCATTCATTCATTCGCTCATTTGTTCAACAGAGGGCTAAATTTTATTTGTTCTAAAATACTGCAAATGCCCAGAAATTTACCAGAATTCTCTATGTATTCTACACCAACTAGCCATTGCACAATGAAAAACAAATCTTTGTAAAGACACAGAAGATACAAAGGCAGGAAAAACGAATTCTGTGAAATTTGCTGGCATTCTTCCTATCAGTGAATAACCCAGAGTTCCTGAGTTTGAAAAAGACATTTCATAATATTGTGCAATATCATGTAACCATCCATGGTCACAGTTCATAAAAATGTGTACTACAATTCTTAACGTGGAAAGATCAACTTACAAGTCTGGGCTGTGAGGCTGACTCCTAAGCTTAAGAGACTGAGTTATCATCTTCACGTGGAGGAAAGCTATAATTAGCTCAAGCTTCTGCAGGACTAGGAGATACGGTGAAGCAAGAAGTCCACATCCCAGTCCCTCAACAGTCAGCCAAGTGAAAAATTATTTATCTTTGCACAGTGCACTTGATAAAACAAATGTTCCAAGTAAATAGGTATCTATGATATATATTTTTTATATGTGGTCCATGTGTTATATATATATATAGTCCCACACATTAAATAAACTTTTTTTTATAAGCACACAGTCACATCAAAGACCTTTTGGCCAGAATTCATATCAAATCTCTCTACAGTAAATAGCAGATTATTTGACTCAAAGAGCAGTTACTATCTTTTCTTTTCCCAGACCCTGACATCAAACCATTCTATTAGTTTATGGAACAATATGCTTTATCTGGTGAGAAACACTGGTTATTGGGTTTGGGCTAAAATACATTTCATTTTCTTGATCTGTGTCTGTCGCTGTCATCTTACTGAGGTACACGAATATCCCAGATTAATTCTTAAGGGGAAAAAAAATAATTTCTTACTCAATTGCAGAAGAAACTGTACAAATTAATCTGATCATTGTGTAGGAAAACAAACCTTCCCATGATGCTGTCTTCCTCTGTCAATTAATTTTATTACAGATGTCATCTTCCTGTGCTAGATCTTTTCTTTTTTCTTATTTCAAGATCTTAATCTCAGTTTGTCTCTCTAGCATTTTACTGGTTCAGAACACATGCTGTAAAAATCCATGGCCATCAAATTTTCCCGTGGGCTAAAAATAACCCACTCCTGTCGGTTAGAATTAGCTGATAAAGAGTGTCAGAGCCTGTTTTGAACAAATCTGATCATTTCCTGTTTATGTAGCAGTGACCCTTGTCTAATAAAGCTTCTCTGCCCCAGAATGAGAGGAGGTTCCAGAGCATTCTATTCCTTAATGGCCAATCCTGATTACTTCTGAAAGCCTTTAATACATTTCCCATATTAGACATGAACAGATGTCAGGTAGGTTGCCAAGGGAGATTTCTTTTATGCAATCTTGGCTTGTTGTACAATAATAGCCCTTTCTCAACATGGGAAAAAATTACAGACCCAACTAATTTCCCTGACAGGGAGAGGTACATATGTTTTCCACTTGTAGTTTTTATGACAAGTTTACAATTTTGCCAAACCTGGAACTAATTGGGACTGTTTTCAAAACTTGCCCAATAACCCCCCCCCCCCCCCCCCCCCACAAAAGCGCCCT